AAAAAAAGTCGAAGCAAAATGAGACATAAATGAGACTTGACCTTATCTAGCGTACAGAAAGAAATATGAATATGAGAAACAAATGATTTTCTAGATTTTCTACAAAGCACTTTGTGTGGATGCATTCAATAAAGACGAGGAAAATCTTGCAACTATGGACGCACATATCAAATTGATGGTGAAGTGAGTCCCTACCTTTTAGCATTGATTTTCCCAAACGTTATCATAATAAACTGCATTGAAAAGTTTGATTTTTGCAGATTTTTCGATGACTTACTGGCAACGCTAGACGATGAAACTGAATGCACAAATCGTATGAAACAAATAGGCACATCACATGCCGTTCTAGCAAGGACGTGTGGATTTTCAAGGTATCTGAGTTTTTGAGATCTGTTAAAGAACGTTCTACTCAATATCCTAAACATTTTTCGATTTTGTAAGGATTCAAAATAGTTCTCAAAAATGCTCTGCTTCTTCCCCATTTTTTCAGAATTTCAAGCTCTTTAAGTGTATACGTATAACAAACTAGCTTCTACGGAAGCATTATTTGCCTGATTACATCTTCCTTGAACTCAAAGAATTTATCTTCTCTCTTCTGAGAAAAAAGTGATGTTATTTCAGCGATATTTGGGAACGGCTGGGTGAGATCACCATGGAACGTGTGTGCGCTCACGAAGTCATACAGGTCGGTCAGAAGTGACAGAAGGTTCTATTACACACAATTAATTTTTTGAAATTTTTCAGAAGACCCGAGACGCGGCTAGAGCTTGGCGAATATTATTAGCATGTATCATCGACGAACTTCGTAGTGGTTTCGACGTTGAAGCTCGCTATTATAGGTAAGCATTACAGATTTGTTAAAATCCCCTGAGGGCGGCCCGCGAGACCCGCGCGTTGATGCGTAGCTCTTGTGCAAAAGGAAAGATGTTACTGACACAGACTGCATATCTGATCTTCCATCACTCTTGCTTTTAGAAAAACCTCGTCCGCAGATCAGCTGGACGAAGTGGAAAATGTTGACAGCGAAGAGACAACCGAATCCAGCACGATCCAAGAGAAAATGCGGCAACTACGCTTGGAATACGACTCGACAGTGCCTTACGAATAAAGAGGCCGTGCGCATGAGCTATTTTTGTTGCACCAGCCGCTTTCTCTCCTTTTCCTACTCTTCATCATGTTCTAGTCATTTTACCCAACTCATTGATCCACATATGGCACAGCTTCTTTCCTTCCTTTTTTCTTCATGTGCTCACCAACATCATCCATTTCTTTCCCCAAATAAAAAAAACCTGGTCATCTCAGTTATGACTACCTAAACAGCAACATACACATCATCCTCTTGTTGTTCTCTCGTGATCACCTCGCTTTTGTACTGCTTGCACATATTTT